CAGGAAGATTTGCACCCAACTCCGACTCCCGTGTCTTCCTCACTCCCACTCCTCTCCCCCTCTTGGAATCTTTGCACGCCGACGCCTTCCCATCTTAGGATCCTGCCTGTGTTGCCTCCTGACACCTCAAAAGTTGGAGCTGGTCTCCGACAATGAGCCAATAGGACCAAGTGATGCTCCAGTGGGACCATCCTAGCTCCTGTCTACTGCTCCAACCTGCCCTCACACCCACATTGCTGACCCTGTAGCATTTAGCTTATTAGCCTCATCAATTACAAATCATCTGTAACCTGTGTGTTTATATCATTGTTCTATGTCCCACTTAAAAATATAAACTCACAGTGAAGGACTTGATTGAATTCACTGATGTACCCAAGGGCTTAGAACAGCAGGTACTCTGTATATTTACATTTAATGCAACAATGAATTAACAAGTCCTTTTCCTCATGAATGAAATGAGAGCTAAATTATATTGTCCTTGGGTGCTTACCAGCTGCAAACTCCAAAACTCTGACATTTAATAACATCACCAACCTGCCACCTGCAGCTCCAATACAGTTTGCACATAGAAGTCTCCATCTCTGAAGCTGCAGATATACAGCCCTTTGTCAGAAGCCTGGACCTTGTGGATGATCACAGCAGCCTCCCCCTCACTGAGTAATTCTCCCAACAGTGAGGTCCGCCCTGCATACTGGAACGTCAGCTCTTCACTCTTCTCCTGCCGGTCTTGATAGATGAACACAGACTCCAAGGTATCGGACCGGAACCACCTCAGCTCCATGTCCTCTGCACTCATGGCTGGGTGCAGGGAGCAGGGCAGTGTGGCGTCCTTGCCCAGCTCTGCCATGATAGGGCCTGGGGGCCCAACCACCAGGAAATCACCTGTGAACACAGACGTAGGAGATAGAAAGCTTAGGAGTACACACCAAGAGCAGGGAACACACAACTGCAACAGGAAGGCACAGGCAGCTGAGGGAAAGCGTCAGATGAGAACAAGCAGCTGAACTGAAGGACTGAGCAGGGGCAATTCTAAGCCTGAGAAAGATGTCCCAGCTACAACGTATGGTCCAGAAATAATGTCAAAGATACTTCCTCATTCACTGGTGCACCTGATAGCAGGACCTTCCGTAAACAAATAACTCATTGGTTCTCACCTTCAGCATGTACCAGCATCACCAGGATGGCTTGTAAGCATAGAATGCAGGGACTTCCCCAGATCTGATTCAATATATTGGGAAGTACCCAAGAACGTGATCATCCCCAGATGATCATCTAGGTTAACCAGTAGAACAGTGCACCCAGAGAAAATAGCGGTTTGCAACATAATTGGAAACGCTGTTGGGCATAAGACACAAGAAAGTCATCACCAACATGGTCACAGAAGAGATTCATGCTTCATTTTAAAAGAGGTAGGTGGTGCACCCCCATGTTTATTGCTGCTTTATTTACAAGAGGAAAGACATGGAAACAGCCCAAATGCCCAAAAGTGGATGACTGCGTTAAAAAGATGTGGTACATATACACAGTGGAATATTACTCAGCAACCAAAAAAAAAATAAACACATGCCTTTTGCAGCAAAATGGATGGAGCTGGGAGGGATCATGCTTAGTGAAATAAGCCAGAAAGTAAAGGGAAAATACTTATGGTTTTACCCATAGCAGGAGTATAAAGGACCAAGGGAGAAGATAATAATAATAATGAACAACTATATACCAGAGACATTTTACAGACATTAAACGGGGTGAGGAGGGAAATGCACTGGACTATGGTGATGGCACACGGGTGATTTGGTGACGGGAAGCCCACAGGGATTACAACTGAGAAGGAAAATGGCACAAAATAATGTAAATAAACATTGATATTATAAAATAAAAAAAGAGGTAGGTGGGGAGACACTTGTAGTCTGGATGGAAAGGTTCGGTACAAACGGTGGCTCTGCCAGTCAACCGGCCCTTGACCTTAGGGAAGCTTAGCTAAATGATGTGGAGACACACATCCTTGACTGAGGGGAAATACATGCAGGCAAGTTGGATGTTTTTAGCAGACCAGGACCCTAGTGAAAAGAACAAGGGCACAGTGAGGCGTACACAACCACTCTCTCCTCCCAGGACTGGAGCTCATCTCCTGAAACACACTGACAATGTGCACATGCAGCGTCTCAAACCTAAAAACAGAACAGGTGGGCAGCCAGTGGTGCCACAAACCTGAGCTGGCATGTCCCCTACCACAGTACATACTCCAGAGGGTAATGACCCTCTTCCACAACCACACCCTATGACACAGCATCTCATAAATCAGCTTTGTAGATATGCAGAAGTCTAGAAAAGTCCAAAATCTAAAATCACTTTAGTACCACCTAATGAAGTTAAAATTTTGTCAAATCTCTTAAGTTAATACCACAAATTACATTTTTTAAAATAAGAAATCTAAAGAGCAAAATAGGCACAAATAAACATGTCAAATAGGAATTTGAACATGGAAAATGAAATCCAAGAGGAGAACAACTCTCCAATATACAAGAACAAAGACAAGGAAGATCGCATCGTCCTATCAGGTAGAGACTTCAAAATTGCCATGACAAAGTAAATTGAAGGAAATGGATAAAACACAGAATGGCTAATCAAAGAGACACAATAAAACTCAGAAAAATTAATAGACAGATTGGGAAATACAGTTAGTGAACTTAAAATAGAAACTGAAGCCTTAAATTATAAAATAACAGAATTGAAGGATGTAAAAAGATCAATAGAGATGATACGAATTTCTGGAGAAACCTTTGAAAGCAGAATAGACCAAATGGAAGATCAAATATGTGACCAAATAATCAAATAATAATGTGACCAAAGATCAAATAATAACACACATAGGACACAAGGGATGAAGAAAGAGGAAAATATTTGAAATAAATTTCAAGGTCCAGCCAACTCATTGAGCAATGGTATTCATTCCAGAAGGGGAAGACAGAGAAGGGGACAGAGAACTAGTCAAAGAAATAGAAGAAAACTTGATGTAGAGAAGGAAATAAATATACAAGTCTATAGAGATAAAACTACACCTATTAAATAAATATAATGAGACCTACAACAAGACATATAGCCTTAAAACTACCAAGAGTTCAAGACAGGCCCTCCCTGGTGGCGCAGCGGGTTAAAGCACAGCACTGAGAATCTGAAGCCACTTCCGCATGAGTTCGATTCCCTCCTGCCGCCTGCCCCGGAGGAGACCACATGGCGAGCCAGACCTCTCCTGACCCGCCCGCTGCTCCCCTCAGCAGTGTACTTCGTCGATCTGCCTGTTCTGCTCCCCACTCTGTCTCTGGTGAAGCCTCTCACCGCCCCTGAGCCTCTGGCCTGTACCCCAGTTCTGTATGAATAAATAAATAAATCTTTAAAAAAAAAAAAAAAAAAAAGAGTTCAAGACAAAGAAAGACTATTACACATGGCTAAGTGGAAAAAGTGGGTAACCTATAAAGGTACTTCCATAAGACATGCTCTTATCAGACTTCTTCAAAGAAGCCCTACAAGCAAGGAATGAATTAAATGACATATTCAAAATACTGTACAAACTTCCTGTCAACAATACTATAGCCACAAGACTCAGTTCCAGATATGAGGAAAAACTAAAGACCTTCCACACAAACATGATGGAATTTGCAAACACTAGACTTGCCCTATGAGCTATATTAAAAAGAGCATTCCTTTAAAAGCAGAATTTTTTTAAAAAATAAGTAAAACCAGAAAACTAAAGACAAAAATGACAGGAGTAAATCATGTTGTATCAACATCACCTTATAAGTAATGGCACTGAACTGGCAAATGTAAAAGGCAGAGTGATTGTTTGAAACAGAAAACGAAAGCCAACTTCCGGCAGTTTCAGGGAGTCCCATCGCAGCTCCAAAGAACAAACAGTTTCAAAAAAAGTATTCTTTTTCTTCAAAAAGATTACAAGAAACTAATAAACATTTATAGTTCATTAAGCTCGAAAGGAGAAGAGTAAACATTTTTCGTATGTTGCAAGGAACAATCTGAAGAACAGACCATATTTTGACTCAAAAATCAAATGTCAGTAAGTCCCCAGAAATTGAAATGATAGAAGTATCTCTCTGATCACAAAGACATCAAAATATAAAAGAAATGGGGGAAATTCTAAAACGTGGACACTGAAAAAAAACTACTAAATCATTATTAGGTTAAGCAAAAATTTAAAAATACTTTAGGACAAATGGAAATAAGGACACGACCTTTTTGTGAGACACAGCACAAGCTGTACTAAGAGGAGAGTATACGGTAATACAGGCCCATGTCTAAAATCAAGAAAGAGTTCAAACAAACTATGTAATCTTACACCTAAAAGAACCAGAAAAATCAACAAATGAAATTTAAAAAATAAAAATAGAAGGAAGCAAGTAATAAAAAATAAAGCAAAAATGAATGAAATTAGGAAATCAAAGTACAAAAGAGTAATGAAGGAAAAAAGCTAGGTCTTAAAAATGAACAGAATAGACAAGCCTCCTGTAAGTTTACAAGAAAAGAATAAAAACTGTAATATATAGAATCAGAATTGAAAGAGGACAAGTTACAATTGACATTTCAAGAATACAGAGTATCATAAGAGACCACTAAAAACCTACATGTCAATAAATTAAATAACTTAGAAGAAACAGAAAAATTATTAGATGTATACAAGCTCCCAAAAATGAATCAGAAATAAATAGAAAACCTAAACAAATTACAAGCAAGTACATTGCAACAGTAATCCAAAGTTTCTCAAAAACAAAGCTCAAGTAAGATATTTTCACTAGTGAGTTCTATCAAAACTTCAAAGATGAACAAATACCTATCCACCTCAATAATTCAAGATAACTGAGGAACAGGGAATGTTACCAAACACAGTTTATGAGACCAACATTAACTTGATATCAGAAGCAGAGTCATGAAAAAAGAAAGCTACTGACCAAAATCTCTGTGATGAACATACATGCACAAATCCCCAACAAAATTGTAGCAAACCAAGTTCATAAATAAATCACATTTGATGCCCAAGCGGGATTTATCCCAGCAACACAAGGATGGTTCAACTTTTGAAAAGCAATCAATGAGATTTCAGCTCACACCAGTAAGACAGGAGCATCAGCCCAGCTGAAAACTCGAGGTGATGACAGGGGCAAGATCTGCTGGTGGTCCTCTTGGTGCCAGAGGGAACACACAGCACCATGCCATAGCCACATTCTACGGGCCACACCATTCTTCACTCTTGGAGCAGAAAAAGGAGGGCCCCACACACAGGCGGGGTCAATGGAGTGGTATGCTCAGAGCAGAGTGGGGCTTCTGCAGACCCTGAGCTCAGAATTTGGGGCTGAGCCAACCAGAGCGAGAAAAACCAGCAGGTTGTACTGCCACCAGTGGGAATGCACAGCCTCATCACAGGCTCATAGCGGAAGCTGGGGACCACACCGACCCCCAGCTGTGAGCTGAGAAGGGGAAGGCTACAAGATCAACCAGGAACCAACAAGATGGCATGCGCAGAGCAGAATGGCACTTCGCAGACCCCAAGACCAGGATCTGGAGCCGAGCCAGTAGGGGCAAAATACACCAGCACTTCCAACACCTGGAGTATACAGGAACTGCACTGGGAGTGCCCATTCCCTGAGCCTCAGCTGGAAGCTAAGGACTGCACACACACATACACAGAACTGAGTAAATACACAGGGAGCAGACCATCAGGGACAACACCCATGAAAACACCCACAGCATAACTACCCTTGTGGAGTACTAGACCAGATCTGACTATCAGCTCCCAACATCCCAGAAGGACACCCCTTAGAGATGCAGTACTGTGCCCCAATGCATAGAACACATTAGAAAATAGACAACAGGGAGAAGGAAAAATACAAACAACTAAGGAAGCCTTCAGGGGAAGGACATACCACAAAAAGAAAACCAACCACTAGAACCAGCAACAATGACCTGGAAGAACTTCTCAGCTTACCAGATAGAGAATTCAAAATCTCCAGGATTAAAAACTGAAAGAAGACAAAAAGGAAAATAACGACTTGAGGAAAACAGTCAATAATAAGAAGAATGAAGCTGAGTCCCTAAAGAGGGAAGTGAAAGAAACAAAGATTAAAAGGTTAATGGAGAAACTAAAGAACTCTGGGAAAAGCAATGAAAAC